AACTGAAATGACAAACTAAACTGGTCCATTTTTTTACTGTGTATAAGTCTCTCAAGAGGTAAGCAGGATCATTATTTATTGTTCTTTAGTATAACAGAACCTCTGGTAATAGCCTAATAAGCAACTCTAGTGAACACCAGTATGATTTAGGAATCCACACATTTCTAAAATGTGCAAAAATTAACAACTAAACACAACAAAATACAGACAAAATGTACTAATATTTCAGTAGATGATTTTGAGGAAACGCTAAAGCCGTACTACTTTAAAAAGCAAAAGACACAACACAGTAAATATATAGTCAGCTTTATACTAAGAAAGAAAGTTACCTGATGACAAATATCAGCCATTAACTCAATCAGATTTTCCTTTACAGCAATATTACGTGAGCCTGAAGAATACTTTCCTCTACTACCGATGAGGTTTATTTCATTCACCAGCAGATCATACAGGTTATGCAAGATACTTTGCCATTTCGTTGAGTCATATGCACCTGTACATGCAAAAACAATTAAAAGATAACAGGTACCACCCACTGGGTACAACATGTAAATCTACCCAGGCAACACAAAATACAGCCAAAATCACAATAAAGCATACAAAGCTTAACAAATGCAGGCCTGCAAAACAAGTACCTTTTTCCTGAGTTTTTGCACCCTTTGGATGATGAATACGAACTTGGAGACGAAACAACTCAATTATTGATTCCTTCAGGGAATCCTTTGGTCTATACTGAGTCCATATACAAAGCAACGTAGGCAAAATTTCTTCCCCTACTTTACAAATCCGTATGCGCCAGTTGACAGCAAACTTATTGCAGAAGATATTTATGGCTCCCACGATATGATCCAGGCCTGCAGTATTCTTCTCCTGCCTGCAACATAAACCAGGCACTCCAGCTTCCAGAAGAAAGAATCTTATTTCTTTTCACAGAAATTATTTAAATGTAAATACAAACTAGTAGCTATATTCAGAATATTCTTTTCCTAATAAATGCAGAAGTTACTAATATTTAAAAGAATTTATTAAATTTGTGTTCAAAGACAGAACAAAATATGCCTGAAGAATTATTACCTGCTATTACTGAAGTCTAATCCCAAATACTTAAAAGAAGTTATTCTTTAAAAATAGGTATCAGCACACAAAGGGAGCACTTGCAACATACCTTGCAATCTGCATTGCTTTTGAAAAGAAGGCAAACATATCAGAATTCAATCCATCAGTTTGGACGCAATAACCTCTTGCAAGTGTGTGAATTATCCTAGCCACCAAGACTCTGTCAATCTTTCCAGGTTTCAGGTATAATTTCCCATACAGGATCAAAAACTCTGCAAATGTATTAAGAAAAAATATAGATGATATCATGTGTAAATGTGCTATAAATGCATAAGTATATCTGAATGTATATATTACAGAGGATGCATATAAAAAAGGCATGAAGTAAAATCATAGAATTCCATTAAATGTACTGAAACTACCACCCCGAATTCAGCTGCTCCGTGTTTCATCCATGTGGGGTTGCAACATCCTCTCTGGGATGCCTGTAAGAACATGGGGACCAGCTTAGAAATGAAGAGGTAGGGGAAATAATGTCTGTTATACATGTTAAGCCCTGTGGAGACCATGCATCCATAACCTGATTGTATGTAAGTACAGCAAACAACAAACAGAATGCAGAAAGAAACAAAACAATCAATTCCTAATCTTGCTGCATTGTTTATTTCAACTATATGCCTTGAAGGCTGACACTATTTTACTCCATGCTTTTTGTAGTACCTCACAGCATCGGGCAACAAATTAAAATGAACTCTGTAACAGGAAAATTCATTTGTAAGAAGGCTTAAAAATGTTACCTGTCCACTGCTGCTGGGATATCTCACACCAATATTTCCTTACGGAGAGGATGTCTTTTAGGAGTAAACTACTACAATCAGATCCATAAACAGCACAACTTATTGGATCTCTTAAAACTTCCATGACGTATATCAAAAGTTCCTGACATTTGAGTCTGGGTCCTCCTATATGACGAAACAACACGAGAGTGTAATTAATCCAAAATGAGCCAGATGAATCCGGAACAAATTGCTTGTAAATGTTTACTTAAAAAAAATAAATTCCAACAATTCAGAAACAGTTCTGTTAGGAATCATATTCCTAAACAACTGTTTGTAAGAAAGAAATTACTTATGAGAGGGTTTATCAGTCATATACACATTAAAAACGGAGAAAAAGGCACTGTGAACATGCACAGAGGCTGAGAAGGAGCATGAAGGACTGAGTCACATGAAGATATTTAAACTGCAAACACCTGGATGCAAGCAAGATGAACCCTACCCTGGTAACTTGCGTCAGAGTAAAAATGCAAAGTTGAAAGCAAAGCACCAAACCGATAATCCTGTATGAATACATATTACTGACTTTTATTAGCACATCTGATGAAATATTTGACCAAATTTCCAACTTCTTGCATCTTTTTCTGTCTGGTAGTTTGGGTTGAAGCAGATGCATTTGGTTTTGTCAGCTGCAGGTTCTTCATTTCTTTCTGGAAATATTTCTGCAAGACACTTCAAAAATAAAAGAGGTATTAATCAAGGATCTGCACATTTATTACTTAATTAAAATCCTCAAGTCCTGTTTCTCCATCATTTAAAATTAAAATATAGATTAGATTTTAGATCTAGGAATAGATTAAACTTTTCACTGGCTTTGTCACTGGCAGTTACTGTAGATTTTCTGGACGGCTATTTGTCTTGAGTTTAGTCTCCCTTTTTGTATTCCTCCTATGTATTTCAAATATATTATTGGCCATCTCAAAAGCAAAATATAAAATGTATCCAGTACTTCTTACAATATTTTTGGTACAGCTACGAAACAAGAACTATTCCAATGCTGTCCAATTAAAACATAATGGAAAGCTGAACAGATAACAGTCCATGAAAACTTTGTATTTCAGATGCACTTTTAACATAAAACTTAACACTGTTCCCAGCTGCTGTAAGAACTTGCCCTATCCAATCTTGCAGCACACCTAAAGCACTTCATATCAAAGACAGCCTCTACAAACCTCACCACAGCATCTTTAATTCACAAGCCACAGTCCTTCTATTGTGTCTTGAAGGACCCAGATACACAAAAAATTCTAATGAGCCTTCTCTAATCTACATATGAACTATATATTGAAAATCAGATGCAGAAGATAATTTTCAATAGAAGAAAGTAACTCATTTTTTTTCAAGGAAAAACAACCATCCAATGAGTGATCAATTTCCTAGCAATTAAGTTCTCTGTATGTGGCAAGTGTTGCATTATTGGCTATTTAAAATTTAACTCCTTTAGAGACCAATGTAAGTAATTTCTCGCTTACAAGCCAACAAGAGCTCTAAATCAATCCGCAGAAAGACAAGCATTAAACAGGCCCAATAAAAAAACAGAATGATGTTTCATGTAAGAAAATTGTGACCATTCACAAAAAAAGAAGAAACTACCTAAACACAGCATCCCAGTTGAGCTGCTTCCCTTGCTTAGAATCAGAATTCCGGTCCAGCTGGAGAACTGTCTCAGAATCACGGAGAAGTCGCTTGAAATTTTCGATTTCCTTCTGAAAATGTATTTCAAGAAAAAGAGTTATTAATTATTCCCTTTATTGGTAACTAAGGCAGACACACCAAAAGAAAACTTGTTACCCTTCGCTCCCCAGCTTTCTCATTTTCAAGGCGACGACAACAAACGAGCAGATCATGTAATGCAAGATTCATGGTTCAGTTTAACAGAAGAGTAATTCCTATCTGCAAACAGAGGAAAAGTATAAAACAGTAATTACTTTGTTCAACACACAGTACTAAGCACAATCGGTGTTACTTCACTGACAAGCTCAATTGTGTCTGGGTTAGTCTTACTAGTCACAGTCACAAGACTGAAGCAGTCTCACCAAATGTAACATCTATTCCCACAGGCAACAGCCGTGAATAACAGCAGAGACCCCCTTCACATGATTCTGACTCCTCCTCATGAGTGGCAACAGAGTAGAGTTGGTCAGACAATAGGGAGGGAGATTACCACAACATGACACAGATCTGAATACATTCAGGCAAACACCACTAACTTTCAGTTGCTAGCTGTTACCAGTTGTTTTAACATGAAGGTGAAAGAAATTACTAACAGTGAAAATCCTCTTCCTCTCTTACATTCTACACTTTCATACGTATACACTTCTATATGGACAAATCTCTCTCAACAAGCCAAAGGATATTCACCTACCAATCAAACTTTCTGCTTTTGTGACCATTTAGAATTACACCTTATCTCCTTCAATAGAAGCTGGAATTTGGTAGAACTTGGATTTCTGGTTTACATAAAGTTATGCTGATGCAGAAGACTACAATGACATTGCCTACAACTTCAGGGCTTCTCCTTTCATGCCTATAAAGCAGACGCATGAGAAACTGTCTGAAAAAGGGCTAAGTCGGAATAAACTCGAAGCACGTGCTCCTGAGGCTGCAATAAGCAATGGAGAATGGGTGTTCATGATGCATTGCGTTGCATCTGGAGCATTTATGCGTGATTATAAAAATACCCATGTTGACAAGTAAAACTTTAAATAGGTACTGTCTTGGAGTGCCTTTAATTCCTTCAGCTTCCAGCAAGCTCAGGTTGGGGCTAAGTATCGTTCTGACTGACAGGTACCTTTGAAAAGTAAAATGTAACCATGAAGGCTGACTGTGCTGTACAGCTGAGCTCACTTAAAATTAGCTTCCTTCACTAACTTGTTTTCGCTCAAACAGAAAGGAACCAACTTTTTAAACACTGATGCCTTCTAAAACGCTGATGGGCTGAAAAACTGGGTGACTATTGTGGCAACACAGGCTGTAGGTTGTAGGGACCGAGTATCAACAGTCCTCGCGCTGGTACTCGATGGTATCTCAACAGCCTTAAGTATCTTAAAGCGAACAATTCCTAAGGATTCCTAACAACTACTCTAGTTCTGTCGTTAAGTATCTATTATGAGCACGCTCATCCCCTGCAGAAGTCACGCCGGTGAAAGAAGGCACACACCGAGTGACGGATCACGGGGGTGCTCACCGAGCAGCCGCCGCGGGGCTCAGGCGGAGCAACCACGGATAACGGGCACCGTCCCGCTCCTCCCACGCGTCCCGCTCCGGCTCCCCCGCACACGGGGCCCCTCAGGGCCCGCAGCCGGGGCCGCCCCGCCGAGCCCGGGCCTCTCACCGCCCGGCACTGGAGCCCGAGCACGGGGAGGCCCCTCAGGGCCAGGGAAGCTCGGTCGGGATGAGGCCGCGTCGCTACTGCCGCCCGGCGCGGCTCGGGAGGGAAGGAGGGGCG